AGTGAATGAGTCTCTTCGTAACACGCTCATATAAATAAAGGAATTACTTTAGAAAGAAGTACATGTATTATAAAGCTCCTTTGTTGAAACAAATATGCAATAAATATTTCATGTATCTGCCTTTCATTGTGTTTGCTATTCTTTGTAAAGATTCTACCTTTATTCATGACTGATGAATGAACAAAAGTTTCTAAATAAAACAAATACAAATATAAATATAACAAAAACAAATTGAAGAGATTACAATCAAATGATTACGATATCAGATGAATTTGAACTGAATTCATTCTTAAATTAATTCCTTTATTTAATTTTAGTGTTTCGCGAAGAACCTTACTCGCGATATCGATTATTCGAAAATAATAAAAGTCGATTTTATGACAGAAGAATTGTTTGTATAACCTCTATATGCTAGTTAATTTTTTATACATCTTATTACTTACCATAAACCCTATAATTATTTGCACCTCGCTTATTAAGTACCGCGTATGTACAGGATGTCCTGAATCTTAATACAACTAGCCGGCTAATAATACTACGTACAAAAATAAAACGATAAGAGGAGTAATGTTAAGAGAATAACAATAAGAAGGAATAATTCGTTTTTTCCACGAAGTATGGTTATGATTACAAAGTATGGTTAAATCGCGCATAAATCAGTAATGGCGCGTTACGTCGATGATCGATGAATACGCTGTTCCGTCGTGGAACAATACCCGTTACGGTCTCCAACAGCCAGGTCTTACGGTCAAACAATTCGGCATCGAAATTTTCCGCTCCATGCCTACAGTATGTTTGAATGCTTTACCTTTTTTCTTTGACTTCCCGTGTCGCGGAACACGAGAATCCTGGAAATCCTTAATTTAACGAAATTAGGCGACGGCTCTTAAGACTTGGCTGACAATAGGCCTGAGGGCTCCACGTGGTCCGCACACGTTTGAAGCCTCAGGCCCTCGCTAGAGGTAATAAACAACCGATGGGGTCACCAGCGCGCAGGTGGACCCCACGTACCCCACCCTGGAGGAGAGGGTTTCCTCCAATATCGGTTACTTTTTGGGGAAACCTTCCCTTTCTCCAAGGTCACCGATTCGCGAACCAAGGGAACGCCCTTGGTCAAAACAGCCAATTACATTTGGCGAGTTCCTGATTTTTCCTAAGACCGACCTTAGGAAGATCGAGAAGCTCGCTTCCTTTCGACACGTCAGAGACACGCCAGTTCTATCGAAACCGTTCCAATACGCAGAGATGCCAGTTCTTTCAAAATCAACGAGACACCACGTTTGCTTCGAAACGTCGAAGACACGACTCCTTTTCGCGAGACGGATTTACGACCCGTCCGAATCCAGCAGCATTCAATCGCGACGCGACAAAACATACGCAGTAAGTAATAAGCATGCTAATTGATTTACAACAAAACTGATCATTAGCTTTAGTTATTCGATATCAATATCGAAATATCGATTTCAGATCCTTCGTAGAAGCTACTATGTATTTAGTTCTTATATCGCTAAGAAATTTTCATAACATATAATTACAATTAAATATTCATGCCTTATATGGTCGTTATTGAAATATTAATATTTTTAACATATGAATGATTTATGAAACTGTAACTGAATTTTTTTTTGCTTAATTAATGGTAGTCATTTATGTAAATATTAAATCGTACAAGTTACATGCACTTTTAGAATTCACAATCGATCGTTATATTGCTTATAGACATCTCACCTGAACATAATGACATCGATGTGAATTCACATACAACGTATATGAATGAAATATACAGTGGTGGACAAAAGTTTTAGCACAGCATGGTTGTTGTGGTACAAGTGCTTATAACTATTAAATAAATTGATTTGGAGGAAAAACTTTTTCACATATTCATTTGCTATATATTTTAGTTTTATTACATAGTAGAAGCAATAATATAAATACATTGATTCACGAAACAATAACAAAAATGTGTTTATTGAACATTTTATGGGCGGACAAAAGTATTGACACACGATGTTAAATGTAGTATATCTGCATTTGTTTGAAAAATTTCCCATCGTCATTTTAAAATCTAGTTAGGTGACACCCCGATTGTCATTTTTAACAACAGTCATCCTAAATTTCAGTCGTTTAGCAACAGGGAAAGTAAGAAAAGGTAATAATGTCAAGAAAAGAGAAAGAAACGACAAGTGAAGATAGAGAAATAATATTAAATTTGTATAAAATGTGAAAATCTTACAGCGAAATATCGCAAATTGTTAACAAAAGTTGTTTTACTATTAGAAGCATTGTAAAACGATTTATAAATCAATCAGATTTTGACACTGCAAATCAAAGTGGTCGTTCTCCCAAGTTATCTGTTAGAGAAAAACGTAAAATTGTAAACGAAGTGAAGAAAAATCCTAAATTCAACTCCTCGAAGCTCAGAATGATATTACATAAAGAATGTTAAAAAGAAGTAAGTTCAAAAACTATGCGAAGGGTATTAAAAACTGCTGGATATTCTGCGTGTGTTACACGAAGAAAACCATACATATCGGGAAAAAATCGAAAGATGAGGGTTAAATTTGCCAAAAAATTTATAACGAAGGATTCAATATTTTGGAACAACATATGGAGCAACAGATGGAAGCAAATTTGACATATTTAAATCCGATGGTAGAATATTAGTTTGGAAAAAACCAAATACTGAATTGGATCTACGAAATTTACAATCGAGTGTAAAACATAGAGGTAGTGGAGTTATGGTGTGGGGTTCTATGGCAGTATCTGGGGTTGGCGAATTAATTTTTATAGATGATACTATGAACAAATACACATATTTCAATATATTGAAACAAAATTTATTCAAAAGTGCGGAAGAATTAAATCTCCCGCGGAATTTCACTTTCCAACAAGACCGCGATCCAAAGCACACCGCTTACATCGTACGCCATTGAATCGTTTGTAATACTTCTCATTCCCTAAATACACCATCCCAAAGTCCAGACATGAATCCTATCGAACATGTCTGGAACGAATTGGAAAAAAGTATTCGAAAACATCGTACAACAAGCAAAGCAGACTGGAACAATGTTCTTTTACAAGAATGAAATAAAATCGAGTTGGATTTTACAAAAAAGTGAGTTTATTCAATGCCCAAACGATTAAAGGAAGTTCTTAAAAGGAAAGAAGGGCCAACTAAATGTTAATATTTAATTTCAAGTCATTTTTAAACGTTTGTATTCAAGTGTGCCAATACTTTTGTTCACCCATAAAATGTACAATAAATACATTTTTGTTATTGTTTCGTGAATCAATGTATTTATATTATTGCTTCTACTATGTAATAAAACTAGAGTAGATAAGAAATAAATATGTCAAAAAATTTTTCCTTCAAATCAATTTGTTTAATAGTTATAAGCGCTTGTACCACACAACCATGCTGTGCCAATACTTTTGTCCAGCACTGTATGTATTCATGTCCACATGTAAATAATGGCCGAACGTGATTTATTGTTAGTTAAAATTTGCTGCAATTAAATGTTTGAAGATTCAAGAAAACTAAAGAACAATCATTACCATAATAAAGCGATATAATGTAAAATTAAGTCGTTAAGAAGTAAGTGGTACTATGCCAAGTTATCTTCGATAAGTTCTTGTACTGTAAATATGTATGTATCTGATTACCATGTTTAAAAACTACATATGTAGTTAATATTTTTATATATTGTTAATATGTTTAAATATTTTAAATTGGGTAAATATAAAATTAAGATATTTTATGCATTACACGAAAAAGGAAAAGTAAGTTACCACATGATTATGAAGAAAAAATGGATAAAACTTTAGAAGCTATACCAATAATTCAGTGTTGTGCATAATTGAATTTTGTATGCTTTGATATCACTACAAAAAAAATGTTGAAAAACATATTAACAAACTTAATTAACTCAGAACCTTAAACAGAAGAAGCAGGAACCATAGAAATCAATCTTACTTCTAAGTAACACTGAATTGAACTACTAGACAGACTTGGATCTGCTATATTCCACCAATATGAAGTAGGAACATAATTTACTAATATTCTTCCTACTATAGTGCATTTTTCATATGGTAGAACAACTGCCAAAGATCACTGAATGAGTTTTCATAAATAATTTCGTGTGAATGTTACAATATTTGTAAATATTGAAAAGATACGTAAAACCAATAATCAATTCTCATTCATCATAACGTTTCAAAGCATGCAACAGTATATTACCCTTTAATGCGTGCTTCATTAGAAAATTCGGTGTTCTTTGCCTATATTATTTTAAAGCTAATAGATTTCAAATGAATTCATATAAAATAATTCATTTTAAATGAACGAAATGATTAATTTTTCAAATGATTCATTTAAAATAATATTTCTGGAATGAATTTTGAATATTATATATTATTAATCAAAGTTTTAATTTACAAAGAAATATTTTACTTACAATACCTTTTGCAAATTGATGAAATACGGATATTTACTACCTAATTTCTATTTCAGATAATTTTTCTGAATCTTAGTTTTGTCTTTTGAAGCAACGAACTTAATTGTAGAATTATAGATGAGCTTATGATCTAAACAAAGACAAATGGCAATACACCCCTTATCTGTTAGAATATATCTTATTGAATCATACTCATTTCTGTTTTTAACTAACTCATGATCTTATACATTTTTGTTGGTTCAAGTCCCTATCTATAAGAACATAATTTTACACAGGGCACTATATTTTTTTTCGTCGTTTATTATTGATATTTCTTATTGTAATTCATTATTCAATAGTGAAGAGTTTGATATGAAAACTCGAGTATATGTTAAGATTAATTCAGAAAAATAGAATTAAATGTGCGATCATATTTTGAACTGGACTAGATAAGTGTTATATTTCATATTAAAATTTATTCTTGTTAGTAAATATGACAATTTGTTATATTATGGAGCTCTTAACACTGAACCTGTGTTCATACTTGTATATATGTATCTTTTTTATATACAATCATTTAACGTGTTATAAAGATATATTATTGCGATGAATATTACATGGTATATATCAGTGATATATGACAAAATTTCTTAAATTAATGAATAGAACATTATAGGGTACTTACATTATCAGTATGTTGATCACATTCTATCAAATTAGATTCTCTATATAAAATTAATTTATATTATTTTAAATACAACAATGTACTTAAGAACAAACTAAAACATACATAGAGTAAATTGTACGAATGAGTAATCGCAATAGAATATCCAGTCAGATGGTGATAAACTTTCCTTTCTCCAAGTGTCTGAATTGGCCTATAATTGTATCCCAAAGTACCATTTATTGTTCCAATGTTCTTCACGATATTCAACTGCAATGAAAGAAAATGAATAAATAGAATGCAACCAGCTGTAAGATTATAATCATACTTTTACATAGCATCTATTGTTATTTTGTAATCTTCATTGTTTACGAATTGTTAAGATATCTGAAAATGGGGTTTACGAGACCGTTTTTAACCTCGCTCGGTTCCCTCTAGTAGATAATTGTCGCAACGAATTCTCAGACTAGCGGTAGACGTCAAAAGTCTAGCAGGTGATATGCTTCATCTTAACTTAGACCCATTAGCATTTAAGAACGAATAAGTTATAATTTGTGTTTCATTTTTTGAGAGAACGGTCCGTTTACAACTTATGGTTCTTGTCGAACATTTTCTTCTTATTACAAGTAAAATACGGTGCGGTGAAAAAAAATTTAACCTCGAAAATCATGTATAAGGACAATTTTGCAGTTACTTTTTTTTTACGGATCTTCACCAATCCGAAGGTACACAATCATGTTGCAATGGCCATGACAATTAATTTTCATATACCCTGTATGTGTTACTCGCCTATATCTTGTACACATGCATAGATATCTACGTAAATACAAGTATTACCGCTATAGTAGCCCCCGATGTCAAAGATCGATATTGGTATTTAATCTCACAGCATATCGACAGACAATTCCAGTATTAGGAATGTCTGTCATGATAGTAGAAGCATTATATGATAAATGTTATACCAACAAATATTTAGAATTGATATGTGTATATTTTAAAAATAAGTATTATGAAATGCATCAATTTTTAACATACATTGCTTTTTTATGCGTTTTTGTTATAATTCTACATATAAACTGCGTTGTAACATTTAAACTTTAATCTGTCATGATCGAATGTTATCTCCTTTGTACACTTCATGCGACTTATCCTACCAAGAATATTGTTCGATTAAAAATTTGCACACGTTCATTCTAATTATATTTGATATTACGAATAAATCTTGCATACTTTTGATATTAAAGATTATGTATTTACTCACGTCTGGACGTATAGTGAAATATAATAGAATATAACGAAATTGTGAGTTAAAGGAGGGGATGTCTGTTTGTAAGACAAGAACTATATTCTAGTTGAAACTATTCACACATAATTGTATTCCTATAGAAATAATTAATTATTATTTTACTCTAGCATTAACGGCCTCACAATAATGGAATACCAATGTATTCCATAACTCAACTTATAACATCTTAATGTTTCTTTTTTATCGTTGTTAACAATAATTGTCAACAGTGATTGAAATTTATATCAAGTCATATAAGAATTGCGATTACAATTAACTCTATACGAGAATGATGTGTACCAGCAATCTAAGTAAGTTTAATTAAAGTTTTTTGCAAATATCTCTGTAACTAAGGCAAAGTTGCTGGAAATGTTGAACATGACAACACGTTTCGTGATCAACAAAACGATGATTCAACATTTCGAAAAGCGATAAAAACATATTTGACAATCAGTAATGCATCAGCTAAAGTGTGGAAAGTTAGAAGATAATCACATGTCATCAGAGGAACAACGACAGAGAGTTGAAAGTTTACATTACAAGATAAAAAGACAAGCCAGTGACGCGTCGTATTATATATAATGTTATAATACGTTATCAAAAAATTTATTAAATATCGTACATTATTGAGACCCCGTGAAATTCAATGTCTAGGATTTTTGAATGAACAGAATTAACCTTTGTTTTATTAAACGAGATTATCGATGATCTAGAAATCGACATACACAGTACCAATACTTTCTTTTCTAAATACGGTTACATTTTTCGAGCTTTTTGCATACATTATATGTGTCATTTTGCAGATGTTATATGTGGAATTTGACTCTTGTTTTTCATATTTAATTTATCAATTGTAAATTCTTCCTTAACGGCGGGAACCAAGTTTTTATATTCTAACGGGATCGTAGAATTACTCTCTTTTGGGACATTTATATTTATTGTAAATGATTCTTATTAATTTATTCTTCTTATAATAAATAATCATGGGTCTAAACTCGTCATCGTACGTCTTCTCATTGTTACAAATGGATTATTTCTACATAGCACTCTTCGATAGTTATCACTTAGGAAGTTTCAAAGACACGATGTCGTGATATATTCCAAACACAACAAATTTTCACGCTTATTTACAAGAATAATTTATAAAGAATAACTAAAAATTTATATTCTTCAATCTTCTTCAACTCAAAGTACTAATAAACTAATTGCTAAAATTCTGCAACACACTAAAAAATACGTTATACCTTTTGCAGATATGACAAAGAAAGATAGGTATATTTTTAATTCGTGCCTGATATTGTCATTTTATTATTTACTAATATACAGAATAATCTACAGAGTAAGAGATTAGTACTTGATTAAATAATTAAGTATTGCATGTTTTTAAAATTCTGATAGTACGCATCATTATAGCGCAGCACATTGACCGCATGATCATTTTTCTAGATTTCGAAATGTACCGAATGCTTTCATTGACAATTTGCTGCTAAAACTAAAATCATGTGGTAAATGTATGTTTATATACGCGGTTACTTTCCGTTTATGACGGCTGTTTTATAATTGTACAATGGTACAAAATGCAAGCCACATAGTATTAAAAAAAAGTTTTATAATAATTTATATACCACGAATAATGATAATTCTAATAAAAACCTGCTTAAACATTTGTGTCATGATGTTTGATATACTACGAGTTATTTTATCTATGTACTAACGAAAACCTGGATAAAATATTTCTTTCTATAGAAAATTATCAAATCTCAGTTTCATATCATGTTGTGCTTTGTATTACTCTTTATTATAATATATGTTTGGTGTTTTTTAAATAGCACTTTATATTTTTGACTTAATAGTATCGTAGCACGCACCTAGAAGAATTCAACGACCTAGCATACTATGACCTTCGCATAATCTTGAAGGCAAAGAAATGAAAATTGCAACAAAAAATGTACAGGGTGTTCAAAAGAAAACACAAACTGTTGCGTTATGATTTTCACAGATGATTTATAGTTGTGGAATCGGTGAAAATCCTTAAACAAATAGTCTAGGAAATTAATCCTCACCAGGAAATTATATTGTACTCAATATGGGGATAAAAAATGTTAAAAAACCATATGTGCTTTTCTTACCCAACTGTTCTATCAAAAAGCGATATGAAATCTTCGGCATTAATTAAGGTGATGTTTTTTCCAGAATGTTTATATCGTGATAAATTACATGCTTTTACAGTTCATACCAGTGAGAAATATAAAACTTATACTTACTATCGTTTTACTTTTGTAGGTATTAAAATACTTGAGCGATAACTGTACGGAAATATACTTATTTGGCATACTTGCCACAAGATTATGCAAATATAAAGGAAGATTTTCCAGATTATAATACTGCTATCACCTGCTTCTGTGGAGAAATTCTTCTTATTTGCTACAATGGTAGATGTATCGCAGAATATATCTATGGATATTTTTCCGATGAATTCTGAAGCGAGAATAATTTTGAAAGGAAATACGATTTATCTTTTAAATATTTTTGTATAATTAATTCTCCTTTACATCGAATTATTCGTTAGTTTATATCATTAAAGTGATCGAAACAAAAAATTATTCCAAAATACTTTATTCGGACTAAAGGAGAAATGAAATTAGTTTTTTTAGTTAGGTTATTTAAAAAATAAAAATAATAAAGTATTTTAGATAATCTAAATATCGAGAATGATTATTTGTTATTTTATTTTAAATAACATCTGCCCATATCGTATATAACAAGTTCAAGATTACATGAGCGAAATTAGAAAATAATTTAGCGGTATATAGAATATTTATAATACATTTTTATTATAAATATGTGACATCTATGGGCCACAAAACATGCGAATGTATTATACAGAGCGGTCTACGAAGATCAGCCACTTAAATTATACGAAAACTGTTTTTTTCTACAGAAAAATGTTTCAAACAAGTTGTAGGATATGAAATGAGGCAGACTGATTTGATTCATTTTTTTCTAAATTGCTTTTTTATCAAGATTTGAAGATTACTTTGAACTTTTTAGCGATAATGTATGAAATTTAACTCAACCACTAGAAAGAGAATGTAAGACTAAATAAAAGATTATAAAGCAATACGGGTCCAAAATCCAATATTTACTGATAAGGAGATGCCGCGAACGGTCCATCTCCAATTTGGATGAAACTTGATAAGCTTAAAAAATAGCCAAAAATGTTATATACGTATTTTTTCTTTTAGCTGCGCTAACTCAAGTCTTACGTATAAGTTCCAAGAGAATTCGAAAACGATAAGAGATAACAAAAAATTAGATTTCCGTTTCAACGGCTATCCCATCCATTTTGAGAGACATTTCTCAGCAATAAAAGGAGTATCTTTGATGCTTCTTATAATTAAATCTTCTGCACCGTTAATAGGCGTTGAACGTTTTGAATCGCTTCCATGCATCGAAGCCAGCAGAAAATAGAGTTATAACGTTTATAGGATTAACGTGCACCATTTTTATTCGAATTATACTTCTAAATAATTCGACAATAATGACGGATGCTGTGAATCCTAGACATCTCGTATGAATATGCAATGGATTCTAATAACAAGAGCTCGCCCCACTTATTTATGGAGTATGTAATAAATGATAAATGAAGAAAATATTTGTAGTGTAAATGTTATGCTCGGCGTATCATTATATCTTGGAAAGTTTTAAATTTACAACAAATATTTTTAGTCCTGTAAAAAAAAAGACAAAATGTTATTCCACCGAGATAAGGCGAGATAATATTTATCTAGACGAAAAAACAACATTTTCGTGATATTATCTGAAAGATATTTTATTTACGTATATGCATGTTTACAATATTCAAGTTTCGAGAAATTTTCGGTCCGAAGAATGACGCCAAAAGTTTGAAAAAATCAGTTGTACCGCTAGATGGAAAACGGAGGTTCGAGGTTCTTCGCAAGACCTTGGTAAACCCTTTGACTTCCATAAATACAAGTTCCTATCCTGCCTAAGTATCCCCCGTATGCCCATAATGCGGGGTCTGATAGAAAGCCTTACCACTAACAGGCCCAGGGACGAAACGTATCCCTTCCTTGCGTCCTTTCTACCTGCTAGCTATCATAGCAAGACGATCATCAGGATACAAACCGGGAGCACCATACGAATCACAAGACCTCATATATCCCCGTGGGGGTGATGCCCACACAGTACTGATTTTTTACGAAATTGCATATAGAAAGATATATATATATATTTAATATTTTTAAGATATTATACTTTAGATTAAATAAAATGGCTGAAATGAAATATACGTGTCAACGCGTATAGGATAAGATAGACCCTTATGTATATTCTATTTGTTATAGTTAATTTATAATAATTCGAAACTGTACTTGTCGAAACGTATCGAGCCCGATTAAAAGCAGACGACGGAAGCAACAATCCGTATATACATAACGTTGTGTTTGGAATAAAAAATACAATTTTTTGGTATCTCTTACCGTTGCTGAGTTATCTCTTGGAAGGTGATTTCCCCCCTTAAATTTCAGTTAGCGTAGCTAAAAACAAATACGCGTGTAATACTTTTCGTGAGATTGATTCAATAACGTTTAATGTAAAAGATGCTCAAAATGTTGCCAATTTTGATCGAGACACATGCGTATAATAAATCAATTATATGAGAAATGACAAAAACTATTTTGTAATATTTTGCAATATTTTGAGCATTTTTCGTTTATTTTCTATTCTGAAATTTATATTTCACCAACTCTGTGTTAAGATATAACGCTAAAACTTATTGATGTCGGTATTGTCCGACTTTCCCCTACATAATCATGTTTGTATTTCCGACCTTTTTAGGATGTTTGTGTTTCCTACACATTATTATGTCGATAAAATCAAAATTAGCTTTTTTAAAAGCAAATGCATACTTTTAATAACTCCAAAAGGTCTAAAATCAATTATTTTGACTAACTTGATAATTCTAATATGAAACCTACTATGTACATTGAATTATACAGTAATGCTCGGTAAAATTGTAATGGACCATTTTACCACCCTTCTCCCGCCACTAGTTTTAAGCTTAGCGAAAGCTAATACAGTTGACAAGAAAAGAAAGAGAGATAGATAGATAGATAGATAGATAGATTAGATAGATAGAGAGAGAGGGGGGAGAGGAAATAAAACAAAAAGAAAAGAGATAATTGTAATACAAAGAGCATTCAGTAATTTTTATCTTAACTTGTTAAAAATAGTACGGACACACGAATACTGGGATCTTTCCGAATAAACGAGTAGAAACATCGCATAGATCTATTTTGATATATTATTACGTATTATTATGCATCTAGTTAATCAAGTTAATTACTATAATTAAGATTAGTGTAATTTATATCGTGCTTGGAGTTATTTTAATCCGAAGAATCTCAACGATGCATCGGTACCACATTTACAAAGATAATATAAAAATTAAAAAAAATTAAAATATATATATATATATCAAAATTATGGTATTAAAGACTCTCGAGCAATAATGAAAAGATAAGGTTGACTATTCACTGTATATTTGTCTTCGAAATATAAATATTGCCCATATAAAATTGTCTTAATTAATCTCTACAGTTTGGGTTAGGTTTATATAATTTTTCACTACAACATCTGTGTTGTACTTCCTGAGGTTTTATATACTCCTAACGATTAGCTTGACCTTGAATTTAAAAAGCCAAAGTCATTCTTACAATACGTTAGATACTATGTATCTCTCCCAAAGTCGACATAGTATTCTTTTGTAATCTATACGACATTGAACAAAATAACAGTAGATAAAAGAACGTGATTAACGAAATTTTAAAAAATTAGCGTTTAAAACAGAAATGAATGAATCATGATTCTTTTTTATTAAAAATTAAATTTAAAAGTAGAAATAAAAATCGGCGAGTAAGATTTAAGCAGTTAATAAAATAATATCGGCTCCGCAACGAGCTCAATTTAATATTCTTTACTCTCTTTTTTTAAACGTCTCGAAGAATAATGTGTGTTATTACATCCTTTGGTTTCAATGATCTTTTTGTTATATCGAAATGGAAACTTTTATCGCAATGATAATTATATTCTTTAATCGCATAAAAGAAATCATGTAAATGAACGTATAGGGTTGCTTCATTTTGATATTTCATGCACCATTATACAACAACAATTATTATCTCCTTTCTCTTGCCATTCACATTTATCTATTAAAATAAATAGCGATTGAAAGTTGCTTCTTTGGTATACACTTACGTCTATGTACTTACCAAGTATGTATTTACGTCTATGTGTATTAAATTAACGTTTCATATTAACCCCTTGAGAACTAAATTATTTCACAAAAATCGGGCGAAACATTTTGACTTTTTTTATAATCGATTTAATAAGCGATTATGATATTCAATAACGTATCATGATTAAAATTATAAAAAATTCAAATATACACGGTTTTGCCTAAAGTCGATGGATAAATTAACGTGATATAAAGGAAATTTTATACAAAATTGAAACCGTGTTAATACGGGCTCGGTCGTTATGGGGTTAAATAACTATTAAATATTACTATCGGGTATATATGTTAAAAGAAAGTTCTGAAAATGGACAATAAATTTACCTGCATATCTGATATCAAAAGTTTTTCATCAAGGATATACCACATTACAGTTTCTTGGCATCCTGGAGTAGTTAAAGATCCATCGTAATGGTAATACGTCGTATGATCCTTTGGTAAAAAGAAGCGAGGAATAATCTTGGTCGTTATGGACGTTACATTAGCTCCGGTGTTATTCGACAAGGGTCTCATCCTCTCCAAAATTGGCATTATTTCCGAATTATTTTCCTTATTTAACTGCAATCATATTTTATACATTTCACTGATGAAGGTATAGCTATTATATAATATATTTATATTACAATAACTTGATATATTTATATTACTATTACCTAAAAATCATTTATCGATAACAAATTATTGTTTTGTTTTATATTTAATCACTAGTACTAGTAGTAAACCAGGAAAAATCACGTATTTCAAATACTTTATTTTTCTGCAATTACTGAAATGTGCGACTGTTTTTAGCAAGGTTGTCGATTTTCATCGAAATAGGAACGTAATTGTATATACCGACATATATATGTCGGATGCCGGAAACGAGTGTTAATTTTGCTTTCATCTTCCGAAATTAATATATATATATATATATATATATATCGTACATCGTACGTCATATATCTAAAATCGTACATCACATATCAGAAAATGTTTCGTCTCGTAAAAAAGTTTAGGGATGATTTGGAAAATAGAATTTGATGGATATATATTGTAAATACGTCTATATTTATTATGTAGTAATACAAAAAGAAGCGAACCTCTTTTTGTACACAGGAAATTATAATCGTTAGGATTTTGTCTGTTCATTTATTTTGATATTACTACATAATAAATATAGATACATTTGTATTATGTACCCACCAAATTCGTTTATCCAAATTATCCCTAAACTCTTTTATACTTGCATTCTGTAAACTTTATTAGAAACTCTCGGAATTTTTTTACTTATATAAGACGTGTTATATTATTGACCATTGTACTTCTAAATACAACAGCCATACGATTAGGTAGATCATACATTAATTCATTAATCGATATTAATTAAATTAAATTAAGTATTTACATTGAAGAAATTTTATGTGAAAGATCTTTTATTTTCAAATATATTTAGGGAATTTATTAGTTCCTTTAAGAGCTATATCGTTATACACTATCTTAATCCAAGATCTTCAGTAATGTATGATCTTTAATCCAAGATTTAATCCAAGTAATGTAAAATCTTTAATACAAAATCTTTAATATCGATTCCTTTTATCGATTCGCACAGATAATTTATAATAAATTACCGTGATCGTACTGTCATTATTTTTTCCTAAACTTGTACACTACACGCTGTTAACGATGAATAATTCTAGTCATTATTTATGTTGCAAATCAATTGGATTTCTCGAATCGTCATGAACGCATCGCGCGCCAACTTAATGTTGCGTGATTAGTTTAATCATTTTTCGGATCGCGAGTGTAATTTGAAATAAATTATTTATTTGTGACTAGTATTGTGATTATTTATTTATAAACAGTACATAGTTAAATGCGAAACGTTATCGGAGTATCGTTTGGGACACACGTATTACGATATTTATAAGATATTTCGGTGATAGATGTCGAATACGTATTGATTTCTGTTTTTCAATTTCGGTAATATCTCGACGCGTTCTGTTCCGTGTTTTTTCGAGTTTGTTTCAATTGGTTAAGAGGAAATATTAGTGGAGGAAAAGTAGAGTTTTTTCATTGGACGTGGGTGTGCCAGAAGGAGTTTTGGCTGAGGAGTGGGAAACTGACGAGGAAGTTGCTTTTCGGTAATCAATGATGTGATTTATAAGTAGGTGTTTGTTCGTCATTTCGATGGGTCTGTCGCACGTGGGTCCAATTTGTCGGATCTGGTAGTTATAAATTTCCTGTGTTTGCATTTAGATGTGTGGCTTAATCCGTTGGAAGGCTGCCGACGCACGTCTTCGGTGTTACCGTCGTAATACAAAATAATGAAGATTTTAGAATTATCTAAAATAAAAGTATTAAAATAAGAGTTGCGCTATAAACACGACCCCTCTGGTACGAAACAATTTCAATTTAACAAGGGCTCGAAGATCGATGACAATAATCATTTTTCATATTATGTAATGCCAGGTTTTACAAGCAAATAATAAATTTGATTTATTTTATTTAATTCCGTAAATATATTGTAGGAATAGTAGGTTGGGAGTCAGTGCGATAGGAACCCTTGGACCCGTCTAGCTGGCGATGGATAATAGACAGTAATCTAGGGTTCGGAGTGAATGTTTAGAGGATGTCTGAAGTGCGGGTGGAAGGACGAGTGACCGCGTGCAAGGATCGGATGAATGGGATATTTATGACTGTATGGAATGCAAGCGAAGAGCGAAAGGCGCCTGAATGTTTAGGGTACGTGGCCCACCAAGAGCGAGGCTATGGGAACTGCGTGATCGAGGAAGAAAGTTCGAGTATGAAAGAAGACTGAGTGCAAGGTTTAAATGACAGTCCCGTCGGTGAGAGTAGTTAGTTCTTTCAAACTTCGTTTGAAAGAGAGTCGAGTCGGCGATAGTTGGAAGAGTGAGAGTGTGGATTGTGCGTCTAGTTTAATCTTTTAGCTTATAACTTTACTTTTAAGTCTCTTTAGCTCGTAAATAAAATATATATTGGAATCAACAACTTCCTTTTTATTCCGTATATTGCCAATCGGAACATATCCCTACAATATTAGTTTTTTTTCAATCTGACATACTAAATACCTATCATGGAGATGATGTTTATTTAGCACCAGTTATTTTAAATGTATATTAAACTCAAGTTTAGTATCAATATTCAACTTAAATATATATAACACTTTTAAGAACTTGAATCCCAAAATTCAAGCCTCTTTCATATTTGTACGGTAACAATAGCTAACATTGTTATAATTTATGATCGTACGAAAAATCTCTTTGAGACAAAGTTACATTAATTTAATGGATTTATACAAAGCTAAAGAAAATTGTTTCTCCAGTTTCGATGTCATTGATGCTTTTTCTATGCAAAACTATATATCTTTCTTTTCAATATGCTTACACAATATGGAACAATAAATCCTGACACCTAACACCGTAGCATTCTGCTCATTTTACTTTATATAAATGTTATATCTACATTTTAATCGCTTAGGTTAAAGTTAAATATTATGTACAAAATAATGGTTGATCAACCCCAAAGTTTAATCAAACATATGTATGTACTATGCGTGGCTGAAAAGAAGTCACCTGAGAAACTTGTAGGACCGAATCCCCACCAACCCAACCATTCTAACGTCATGGCAGAAGTAGAGTAAAGGGAACGAAGCAACGAGACAAAGTGAGACAGACGCAACAAATAGATGCAAGAGCGTAGACTCATCATAAAAGTATATTAACTTCAGATTCCTCTGATGAACACATGATTATTTGCAATTAATAATTACTAATTACTAATTACCATCTCGATTAACTTTTCATTGTACTATACAGCAAATGTGCTGTACTATACACATATTTTTTATATTGATGTTGTATCGTATGATTTATTTAAACGGTTATTTAGTATGATGCAATTCTATAATTAATTTATCATAAAAAATACATCTTAAATTTCGAATCAATTTTCATAAATGATGTTAATTATTATTACTTTTGTACTTCTTTACTTTATAAATCTTTGAGCTATTGCCATCTAATTTCTTATCCGACTCACTGCTTTGTATTTCCAATTTTCGATCTTCAGTTGCGTCTTCTATTATTCCATCGTTCGTCCAATATTCGTGTTCCAGTGTTTCTACGTGTTTACAAAATCCTTTCCAATCATATGATGTTTCGTTTATTGCCTGGCGTAGTAGTGCTTCCAATTCATTCTAAGTTAATTCTGAGATAATATTTCTTTCACGGACATCTTACGCCTATGTTAACACGATGACTTCTTTTCAGCAACACAGAGTACATCGTGTAGTATGGCATTAGTTTAATAATTGCCTACGAATCTTCACGACCCAATCGAAATGTTTTGCAACTTGTCCCGAGTTCCAGACACTAGACAACACGAGTTATGCTTAAAAAAGATCTTTGCTTAAAAAAGATTGCCATAAGGATACGAAAGGACGGAAGACGAATAATAATTTACGCTTCACAAATAGATAAACGACACAGTGAATCGGCAATTTTTTTTAATAGTTTTGTTGTCGTTATTGCGCTATTTTTATCAGTAGCTCGACTTTCGTGAATTTTATATGAAAGATATTTCTTGGAATATTTATATGACGTTAAATCTGTAACAATTTGCAAGGATGCTACGGTTAAAAGATTAGTCGATGCAACACGTGATATTACTATTATCGTATCACTAGTATTGCAATTAGTTTTATTATTGCAATTAGCTTTACTCTGCAGCATACCGTATCTTGAAATAATCTTTCAGTATCATGGCTCGGAAGCAGGCGTTGAAATGTTTCGAAATAATTAATAATTCTCAACTGCACTCCGAGGATCTAGCAGTAAATGATTATTTCGATAAGATACTTCCTGATTTATGTCAAATTTCCCTTTGCGTAACGATATACGATATCGTTATACATTAATCGAACGTAATATTTCAAAACGCTATGTAATATACGTAATGATCGAGCAGAATAAATTAGTGGATTGTGGAGAAATAATAGCAGTTATGAAAAGACTTTTATACATTTTATAATAAACGTACCTCGAATAAAGTGGCAACAACTGCAACGCCATTTTTATGCTGCGATGCTATACTCGCATTCTTATACTGATTGTTGTAATGGACGAAATGTAATTCTAATACGTCACGCTTGCCATCCATGGTGTGCTCGGCAGGCCAGTGGAAGTGTATGTGATCCAAAATATACGTCGATGGAAGATTCGCTCCTTCGAGATGAATCGGTATACGTACCAATTGATAAGTTGGTGCAGCAACTAATTTAATTTGTACTGTAATAGAAGTTAAACGAAGAAAAAAATATTTTGAAAATTGACATTTTAATAAAATATCGCATATATCACACATCGTACAATTATCACGACGTACGATTCGTTATAGTAAATTTGAAAGATAGCGAAAAGCAAAATTCAACGCTCTCTATACATATTTGTAAACGTGTCGATATGCCTCGAAACTACAGCATTCTAACGCAAATAATAATTAAACTACACATGGAAGACAGCAATAATAAATGTAGCTTATCAAGGCTTAACTTCTCATTTACATTTCTTATTGTCCATTATCATAATTTGTACATAATGTACTCGTCGTCAGTTTTGCACCTATGTATGCTTACTAAGTCTGTTAGCATTTTATCCAGAGGCCTGATTACGCTGTGCGCGAATACTCGTAAAATTATAGAAAACTTATAAACGACCGGAATTATACGATGGGTATAACTTATTCTTCGAATATTACTATAAGTTATTCTTCAATTGAATACAAAAGTCCAAACTCTGAGCAGATTAATCTAATAACTTTAAGTCTTCGCTTTCTGGCTAATCTTGTACTAATTTCGCCATGTTTCCAAGTCTTTTTCACCTTGTATCGTTTAGAATTTTCATCTTTTTTCTTCCAATATTTTTGCTACTTCGTGGCACACGATCGATTCTTTTGTTTCGTCATATTACGAATCGTCTCTGATTAATTAGGTTTTTACTTTCTTGTTCCTTTTCATTTCTCTTTCATCATCATTCACCATTCATTAACTACTTGATTTTCCTGCATCACTATTTCATAAATTTACAGGCACAGAATAACTTTTCCGAAGGAAATGTCGGAAGGTTGGCGTATATTAATACGATATCTTTTCTTATTCTTCCTTGTCTGATAAAACTAGATTTTAATTTCAAAATTATATTCTTCTTGATTTTTTACCCTATACATTACACATTAAAGAAAAATTTAGGATACGCTATATTAATTACTTTGATTAATGTAATTTGCCTAGTTAAATCTACAATTGATCTGTCCATAAACGAGATCGATGTCCCATGAACGGGATTTACGAATATTCATGCTACGTAAGAATAATTTTCGCTATAATAACACTGTACAACACAAATTTTAATCTGTAATATCCATTAGGAAACTCTCGTAGAACTTATATTTCTGAATACGAATTCACAAACGAATTTTCTTTATCACTCACAGTTTTCGAAAAATATCAGTTTTTCTATAAAACGCACGATTTTGACTAAAATGAAGGATTACATTAAAAGTAAAAAATTAGCAAGTTCCTTTTTATCTTGAAAGTTAGGCGGAAATTTCCCTAGTTTACCACTATCCATAATTATATTTATTCTTGCTCTCGAATAATTGCGATTTATCATCAAAGTTTAAAAATAAGCTGCCGAGCGCACATTCTATGCATTATTCTTGCATTTTTACAATAAGTCCTTTATTCTGCACGAATTTGCTATACGCGTAATATACTATTACTATTCTCGCTTCGGCGAGAAGAAGGCACAGCGTGTTTAACATCCTTGCTCTTGTTCGAGTCCGCTTGCTTTCGATTAAAATGCGAGGATGAAAAAGAAACTGGCATTTTGATAACTTTCTACATCTTGTACATCCTTAAAATTCGAACGGAAACCTATGCAAGTTACATTCGAACAAAAATTTCTCATATTGCTCACATATACCTATGTATAATTTATATGAAGAAATGTGAAATTAGGATAAGAAATGAGAATTAATACGTATCGAGTTTGATCGATCAACGTATATGTATGTACATAATTAAGGAAATTAGAAATATAATAAAAGTGAAAAGTTAAAACTGTCAAATTTTTAATTAATTATTAATAAATTATGTAATTGCGAAATTTTTAATAAATTACTAATAAATTACTGCATAACATAACTTGAAAGTGAAAGGAAATTGAAAAAACCATAAAATGTAAAATTACGTTTAACATAATACCGTTTCTTTTAAGCTTTCCGTTCCTCTAATCGATATAATGTAATGCAGTGAAGAAAGATTTATCTATATAAAAATGTTGTCTCATTCGTGTAAACTATAATATACGTAATATCTTTTGCCCTGTTTAGTTACGAATTTGTATTTTCTATTATATAATTTATAGAAAGATTCGTTTTATCGAAACAAGTTACATTTTTTTTACAGTTTTCTCTATTTCTCGCGAAATACTAAAGACGAAATACTAGGGATCGTTAATTTAAGGATTCGTTTCCTGCCGATATAATATACGTGTCTAATAATACGTCTCAGGTAAAGGGTTCTGTTATGCGCAAGAAAAATGCCGAATGCATTGACATTCTATGCATACTGCACAGGTAAGCCGCGAGTAACGCGTTGCTTATAAAATCCGATTTTCCTATACAAGATTCATAAACGGTATGTACCTATTGGTTATATAAAGCAATGAATAGTTTTATATAACGCGAAGCATTCATACATACTTACTTACGTAAATAAAAATTGTCCTTCTTCCCAATTTTTCATCTAATCGCAAAAGAACGCTTCTTTGGCAAACGCCATCAAATTATCTTTTTATCTCTTCTGTGCATTCACTCGAAAGATCGTTAAATCGTATTTCGTTGCAACATATTTTTTAATATTTATTGAATTTTCATAAATTGAAAATTAAAAAAAAATAAACAAAGGTTGCAACCTATGCCTATGGAAATGATGATAATTTGACAGTTTGGATATTTGGAAAATCAGATAGATCGTAACATTTACAATTGAAATTCGTATAATCTTTTGTACATAATTCTTACATGTGTGATTCTGCATTAGCGCGATAGAAAGTCATCGTATCTCGATGAAACGCATTCTCTGGACGTAACTAAAAATATATGATTAACGACGAACGTTTATGTATCATGACACGGATTTCTCTACACGCGAGGCGCAATATTCTCAGACGAATCAATTCCTCTTCCTTCGATGAACCAATCTTACGTGTCATTGTCGTTATTATTCATTTTTCACTTCGTAATGCTCATTTTCAATTATTTTTTCCATATTGTCGAAATAAAAACCTTTCTTCTTACACGTAAATACCTTCTGAAGTAAATAGATCAATTATTTTGACTAAAAAATTAGTTTTCCAACGTAATCCTACTTTTTGTGCACACGTTAATGTGAATATGGTGTAACGTGATATTTATAACACTATATTTCTTAGAAAACTAACGCTCGCATTATACCACAAGGTTACTTGTATTTACGTAATTTCTTAATAGATCTCTCATATCTTTTACAGAATAGAACGAGCAAGCGTGTGAGTACCTTATATTGCAAGTGATTACAGAGGAAAAGGTCAAAACGATTCTAGTTTAAATCGTATTCAAGATGTTTTTCCCATGGTATAGCACAGCCTGTAATCGTAAGTGTCCTTCGGTAAATTACACCAGACTGCTACAATCGTCAGAAATAATAACAATGAAACGCAGCTGTTTTTTCACGAATCATCATGGTAGAAGTGTCTTTAATTTAAACGTACAGATCTTTCCAGACTATGTCGGAGCATCAACAAAAATTATACATGCAATCTATAATCTGTACCGTCCATCACAATGTATCGATCGGAACATATTTCTCTGATTAAAAATGCACAACAATCGAGATACGTATTATGTATATTGGTAACATCGATAGCGTCGATGAACTATAAACGTATATTTTTATAGAAGAAGATGGAAGATGTAAAAAAAGTTGTATCATTATAAGTAGAATTAAAATTGTATTATTAAAAAGCAATTAAAATGACGTAGGATCTTCTTTTCTTGAAAGGGAAAACGTTTCGAAAATTTCAAAATTACCTTCATTTTTTTAAATACAATTATGCACTTTCACACATTAATGGATCTCATTCTTTTCCATAGAAGAAAAAAGTTTATTAGGATAGAAAAAAATTGGTTAATTTAAAAGTTATTTTAACTTTATCTTGTTCGCGATCGTATTTTTCACGACAGTAGTATCGAGTGCATTGGTTCAAAGCATTTTAGCATTTATTTCATACCATTTTCTAACAGTTTATCCAAACGGGATTGAAAACGATGATAAAAAATAGATAAAAAATTTAGTAAAATATGCTTCAACTGCTAAATATTTAAACTGCTAATATTTTGATACTTTCGTTTCGATGGTTATTAATGTCGTCTTTAATATTAATAACGTTTTATTTGTACGAAAAACCAAGGAGAAAAGGAATCATCGTGCTATGAAATATGTTAAAAAAGCAACGCAACCAAGTTTCAAACGTACGAAACCGATTAGCTTCGTTAACGAAACATTATATTGTACTTCATATACGAAAGATTAATTTCGATGTGAATGGTTGTCTTATTGGCATAACAATTTAGTTTACACATCTTTTAGGAGGATTGATTTCTCTGGCGGTCGGGCTCACTTTTTATATCTGAGCGCCCGATCGTCTTTTGTCTTTGCAGGGGGCACGCGTCACGGAACGCTCTCAATGGTTCTCCCCTGGTCTTTCTAGAACCGTGATTCGCGACACGTACTTCTGCGTGATTTGCGAGTGACCATCGAACGCTCTGGACCTTTCGAAATCGCCACATATCTTTGAAAAAATATTTAACTTTTTTCATTTTCATACACGATGTACCCGATCGATGATGTATTTATATACATATGTGCTCATATTTCCTCCTACTGTTCCTAGGAACAGTTCCTAACTTTTCCTAACTTGTTTATTCCCCCCCCCCCCTATACAACTTTTTATTTACTTTATTAGAAATATTCGATCACGTGCATTTTTACATTTTTTTTTCAGAGAAATCTTTGTCACGGAAAAACAAACTAAAAATCTAACCTATAAATTGTTGTCGGTTAATTCGTGTGAAATACAGACTTATTCGTATCCAAAACTTGATCTTGACATTTTCGCTACTTGTCTTGCCAACTGAAATTACATCGCTATTAAATTAATTCGTTCATTTTATGTTCGATCATTGA